CCACTCTTCAGTTGGAGGGCATCTAGGTTCTTTCCAGGTTCTGGCAACTACAAATAATGCTGCTATGAACATAATTGAGCAGATGTTCTTATTGTATGAAGGTACGTCTTTTGGGTATATGCCTAACAGTGGAATTGCTGGATCTTGTGGTAGACTGATTTCCATTTTCCTGAGTAATCTCCATATCGATCTCCAAAGTGGCTGCACAAGTTGGCATTCCCACCAGCAGTGGAGGAGTGTACCCCTTTCTCCACATCCTCTTCAGCATAAACTGTCATTAGTGTTTTTAATTTTAGCCATTCTGACAGGAGTGAGATGGTATCTCAGAGTTGTTTTGATTTGCATTTCCCGGATGGCTAAGGATGTTGAGCACTTTCTCAAGTGCCTCTCAGCCATTTTAGACTCCTCTATTAAGAATTCTTTATTTAGTTCTGTAGCCCACTTTTTAATTGGATCCTTTGGTGTTTTGGAGACTTGCTTCTTAAGTTCTTTGTGAATTTTGGAGATCAGCTCTCTGTCAGATGTGGGGTTTGTGAATATATTTTCCCATTCTGTGGACTGTAGTTTTGTCTTATTGACTGTGTCCTTTGCCCTACAGGGGCTCCTTAGCTTCAGGAGGTTCCATTTATTAATGGTCGATCTCAGTGTCCATGCTACTGGTGTTATGTTCAGGAAGCGGTCTCCTATATCAATGCGTTCAAGGGTACTTCTCACTTTCTCCTCTAGGAGATTCAGTGTGGCTGGATTGATGTTGAGGTCTTTGATCCATTTGACCTAAGTTTTGTTCATGGTAATAGATATGGATCTATCTGTTGTCTTTTACATGACAGCATCCAGTTACCCCAGCACCATTTGTTGAAGATGCTTTCTTTTTTCCAATGTATAGTTTTAGCTTCTTTGTCAAAGATCGGGTGTTCAAAGGTGTGTGGGTTGGTATCAGGGTCTTCCATTCAATTCCATTGTTCTACCTGTCTGCTTTTGTGCCAGTACCTAGCTGTTTTCAGGACTATACCTCTATAAAAGAGCTTGATGTCAGGGATAGTGACACCTCCTGAGGTTCCTTTATTGTACAGGGTTGCCTTGGCTATCCTGGGTCTTTTGTATTTCCTTATAAAGTTAAGGATTGTCCTTTTTAGGTTGGTGAAAAATTGTGTTGGTATTTTGATAGGGATTGCATTGAATCTGTAGATCACTTTTGGTAAAATTGCCATTTTTACTACGTTGATACTACCTATCCAAGAGCATGTCAGATCTTTCCATTTTCTGGTATCTTTAATTTCTTTTTGTAAGAACTCAAAGTTCTTTTTATACAGGTCTTTCACTTGCTTGGGTAGAGTTACCCCAAGATATTTTTTGGTGTTTGTGGCTATTGTAAAGGGTGATGTTCTCTGATTTCTTTCTCGTCTCGTCTATATACAGTAGGGCTACTGATTTTTTTGGGTTCATTTTGTATCCCGCCACCTTGCTGAAGGTTTTTATCAGCTGTAGGAGTTTACTGGTAGAATTCTTTAGGTCGCTTTTGTAGACAATCATATCGTCTGCAAATAGTGAAAGTTTGACTTCTTCCTTTCCAAATTGTATCCCCTTGATCTCCTTTTGTTGTCTTATTGCTCTAGCTAGAACTTCAAGTACTATATTGAAGAGATATGGAGAGAGTGGACATCCTTGTCTTGTTCCTGATTTTAGAGGAATCGCCTTTAGTTTCTCTCCATTTAGCTTGATGCTGGTTGTTGGTTTGCTGTATATAGCTTTTATTATGTTTAGGTATGTTCCTGTTGTCTCTGATCTCTCCAAGACCTTAATGATGAAGGGGTGTTGGATTTTGTCAAAGGATTTTTCAGCATCTAGTGAAACGCTCATGTGGTTTTTCTTTTTCAGTTTGTTTATATGGTGGATTACATTGATGGATTTTTGTATGTTGAACCATCCCTGCATGCCTGGGATGAAGCTTACTTGATCGTGGTGGATGAGTTTTCTGATATGTTCTTGGATTAGATTTGCCAGTATTTTATTGAGTACTTTTGAATGAGGGAGATTACTCTGTAATTCCCTATCTTGGTTGTGTCTTGGTTGGTTTTTTTTTTTTTTTTTGGTTTTGGTTTTTCGAGACAGGGTTTCTCTGTATTGTTTTTGAGGCTGTCGGTCCAGCGTGGCCTCTAACTCACAGAGATCCGCCTGCCTCTGCCTCCCGAGTGCTGGGATTACAGGCGTGCACCACCAACGCCCGGCTCTTGGTTGTGTCTTAGTGTAGTTTGGCTACTAATATAATTGTAGCCTCATAAAAACAATTTGGCAGTGATCCTTCTGCTTCTATTGTATGGAACAACTTGAAGAGTATTGGTATTAGCTCTTCCTTGAATTTTTTGGTAGAATTCTGCACTGAAACCATCTGGCCCTGGACTTTCCTTGGTTGGAAGACATTTATGGCTGCTTCTATTTATTTAGGGGATATAGACCTGTTTAAATTGTTTATCTCTTCTTGATTTAATTTTGGTAAGTGATATCTATCCAGAAAATCATCCATTTCCTTTAGATTTTCCAATTTAGTGGAGTATAGGTTTTCAAAATATGACCTGACAATTCTTTGGATTTCCCCAGTGTCTGTTGTTATGTTCCCTTTTTCATATCTGATTTTGTTAATTAGCATGTTCTTTCTCTGTCTTTTTTATATTTGTTAAAGGTTTGTCTATCTTGTTGATTTTCTCAAAGAACCAACTCTTCATTTCACTTATTCTTTGTGTTGTTTTCTTTATTTCTATTTTATTGATTTCAGCTCTCAGTTTGATTATTTCTTGGCATGTGCTCCTCCTGGGTGTTCTGCTAATTCTCTACTGTGGCAGTTCTCCAGTTTCTTCATGTGGGCACTTAGTGCTATGAATTTTCCTCTTAGAACTGCTTTCAAAGTATCCCAAGGGTTTGGGTATGTTGTGTCTTCATTTTCATTGAATTCTGGGAAGTCTTTTATTTCTTTCTTTACTCAGGGGTGATGCAATTGAGCATTGTTCAATTTCCATGAGTTTGTGAGGTTTCTGCAATTTGTGTTGATGTTGAATTCTAATTTTAAGCCATGGTGGTCTGACAGGATACAGGGGGTTATTCCAATTTTCTTGTATCTGTTGAGATTTGCTTTACTGCCAAGTATGTGGTCGATTATAGAGAAGGTTCCATGTGGTGCTGAGAAAAAGGAATATTCTTTTGTGCTTAGGTGGAATGTTATATAGATGTCTGTTAAACCCAATTGGATGATAACTTCTGTTAGTTCCATTGTTTCTTTGTTAAGTTTCTGTCTGGTGGAGCTGTCCAGTGGTGAGAGTGGGGTGTTGAAGTCTCCCACTATAAGTGTATGGGGTTTAATGTGTGATTTGAGTTGTAGTAATGCTTCTTTTATGAATGTGGGTGCCTTTATATTTGGGGCATATACGTTCAGAATTGAAACTTCTTTCGGATGGATTTTTCCTATGATGAATATGATGATCTTCTTCATCTCTTTTGATTAGTTTTAGTTTGAAGTCTATTTTATTAGATATTAGGATAGCTACACCCACTTGCTTCTTACATCCATTTGATTGGAAAATCTTTTCCCAACCTTTAACTTTGAGGTAGTGTCTGTCTTTGAAATTGAGTTGTGTTTCTTGTATGCAGCATAAGGATGGATTCTGTCTTCCTATCCATTCTGTTAGCCTGTGCCTTTTTATAGGTGAGTTAAGACCATTGATATTTGGGGATATTAATGACAATTGATTGTTGATTCTTGTTTGCTTTGAATCTGTTTTTGGTGGTGGTTTTATGTGTGAGTTTTTCTTCAATTTCTGATTTCTGGTAAAGTTAGATTATCTATTGCCCTTGTTATTTTGAATGTAGTTATCTTCCTTGGGTCAGAGCTTTCCTTCTAGAACTGTCTGTAGGGTTGGTTTTGTGGATTCATATTGCATAAATCTGGTTTTGTTATGGAATATCTTGTTTTCTCCATCTATAGTGATTGAGAGTTTTGCTGGTAATAGTAGTCTGGGCTGGAATCTGTGGTCTCTTAGTGTTTGTAGAACATCTATCCAGGACCTTCTTGCTTTCATAGTTTTCATGGAGAAGTCAGGTGTTATTCTGATAGGTTTGACTTTATATGTTACTTGGCTTTTTTCCTTTGCTGCCTTTAGTATTCATTCTTTATTCTGTATGTTTGTTGTTTTGATTATTATGTGGCAAGGGGACTTTTTTTCAGGTCCAGTCTATTTGCTGTTCGGTAAGCTTCTTGTAGTTTCATAGCATCTCCTTCTTCAGGTTGGGAAAATTTTCTTCTATGATTTTGTTGAATATGTTTTCTGTACCATTGAGCTGGGCTTCTTCGCTTTCTTCTATACCTATTATTCTTAGATTTGGTCTTTTCATGGTGTCCCATATTTCCTGGATATATTGTATTAAGGATTTGTTATATTTAAGACTTTCTTTTGATGAATCTATTTCCTCTAGTTTATCTTCAGTGCATGAGATTATATCTTCCATCTCTTGTATTCTGTTACTTATGCTTGCATCTGTAGTTCCTGATTGTTTTTTCAGCCCTTCAAATTCCAGCATTACCTCAGATTGTGTTTTTCTTATTGTCTTCATTTCGATTTTCAGGTCTTGAACTGTTTGAATTGTTTCCTTCATCTGTCTTATTGTTTTTTCTTGGATTTCCTTGCTGTCTTTAAGAGATTTGTTGATTTCTTACTTTTTTTTTGGTTTGTGTTTTCTTCCAGTTCTTTAAGGGATTTTCTCATATCCTCTTTGAGGGCCTTTATCACTTTCAGGAGGTTGTTTTGAAGGTCATTCGCTATAGTGGCTGCCAATAAAGCACTCTGTGGTAAAGGAAAGATGACAAGAAGCCAAAGAGAAAACAACAAAATGGATAATAAAAAAAACTAGTTGTCTTAAATAGCTAGCCAGGCCCCACAATAATACAAAATTAAAATGAACACAATTCATGTTTTACTTTTGACATAATGTTTCTAATTTTTGCTTTGCAGCTACATTTGAAATAGCTGAAGATTATCCACTCTTTCAATCCATTTATAAAGTGAATGTCACAGATGAAGACATTGCACATGGTGACAGGCTCACAGTAGGTGGCTATTATTGTGAGAAATGCATATATTTCTGGAGCTGGCACACAGGGCAAAGTGTTTGAGACTATTTCAAATAATAGGAAATGTAATTTAATGAATGAATAAAATTAATCACTCAGTATAGTATTTGTGTTAAAGCTGGAAATATTTTAGATTATTTTAATGTAACTATTAAATAAAATACACACACGCATGCGCACACACACACACAATTACTATAAATCAGAGTGTGTGTGTGTGTGTGTCTGCATGTGTTTTTGATGCTTTGCCTTTCTAATTCATAATATCTAACCTTAAGAGATTTGTCATCTCATAATTGATTCATGGCTATACAGTTTCTCACAGACTTGGAGAGAAAAACAAACCTTCTAAAATGTTATCTGCAGATTTTGGTTGCATTCATACTCTGAGAGTCCATATGATTTTCTGGCATCTGTTCTTTTTGAACACATATTGACATCCCTTACTACCAATTCAGTAACTCTCATGGTGAAGTACCAGACCAGAAAGGCTGCTGGGTTGTCAACTGACCTGGACTGTCCTGACTTTATCCCAGATCAGTATGGTGATATTGGGACAATCACATAATCTCTGCTGCCCTTGATTTCCACAATTAGAAGATATTTCTTTTTCTTTCCCCACCCCTCAGTGATATATGTGTAGTTATCAAAGTACCAAAATTCCTTGTGGAATAGTCAGCATTACATTGTTATGGACTGACCAATATGAAATTGTTAAGAAATCTGAGATGTATCTCATTAGATGTATTTTCAGTAGATTAAAAGAAAAATAACCTTAGTACAGCTGAAAATAATATTGCCAGTCTGCCATTTGTAGGAACGTGAGAGGAACCAGTGTGTGAGTGTTTCAAAATATATTTTGGGAACTAGTTATGTTGCTAGAGTATAGGTTTCATATCAATTTAAAAACAAATTCTCAAAGTAACTCGAGAGTTTTCTGATAAATTATCATCTTTCACTTTATTTTCAGGTACTTTTGAGAACAGATTTATTTAATTTAACTTCTCAACTCACTGAAGAACTTTCAGTAATGATTTAAAACCTGCATATAGACTGATATTAATATTTGATAATTTAAAATGTGTATGTTAATCTTGGTATTCTTGAAATTTAAAAAGTGTTAATAAATTTATTCTGTATGTATATCCTCTCATATATAAAATCATTAGTAGGATCAGAATTAGGCATTTTCAAATTCTTGTAGGAAAATGTTGTGTATAACTCCATTAAACATTGGCAAAGGGACAATACAATATAGTAAGCAAATTAGTTGATTTTCTTATATTACAAGTAACAAAATACTCTGATTTTATAACAGCTATCCCATAAGAGTTATAATTATGAAAAATAAGGAACTGTCTGTACTAATGTACCTTTATTGTACATTAATAGTCTTTTGTGCTTTTTAATTCATTTTGGAGGGAGTAATACACATTTTATTTTCCAGTACAACATTGAGACAGAATTATCTGGACCAAAGAGGGGAGCAAACTCCTTTGGAGTAGATCCTGTAAATGGTATTATTAGCCTAAGAGGTGAAGATGCCTTGGACTTTGATGCTGGATACCATGTAATTTAATTTTTTTATTTCTATATTAAGAATAGAAGAGAATTAAAAAATAACTTTGAAATCTTTATGAAAAATTTGAGATATTGTGACATTACAGAAAGGGTAATATTTCACAAGATTCATTTGCAAAGATTTGTTTAGTTAACCAAATGTCTAGACCTAATCCTTTCAGTTACTAAAGTATAGGGATTGTACTATACACAAAAATTTCTAAAGAAAGTTAAGACAAAATGAGCACAGGTATCCCAGGTAATTGATCATTGGGATTATTGAGTGTGAAGGGTAGATGGATCAAGTTATTAGTGTTATTACTGCTATTGCCAAACTGTTCCTGCTGTAGAGATGACTGCATATATGTTAATTCATGATGGCTTTGAAAAAATACCGAGTAATAAAATGTGAGACTCTAGAACAGTGGTTCTCAACATTACTAATTCTGTGACCTTTTAATACAGTTCCTCATGTTGCAGTGACCCCCAACCATAAAATTATTTTGTTGCTACTTCGTAATTTTGCTACAATTGTGAATCATAATGTAAATATCTGATATGCAATATGAGGGAAGAAGTTGCTGATGATATTTAGGAGGCAGATTCAGTAGTTGAAGATGACTTCCACTTTCTACTCTGAAAAATAAATAAAAGCATGAGGAATGCCAATTAATCTTACTTAAATTCATTTAGGAAATGGTGAGTGTTGCAGAATGGTAGAGTAGGCAATGACAGATTTAGTGAGTACTGTGTGAGAGTAAAGTCTGATGGAAAAGAGGTGGGAGTTAGCAATACTATTTGGATGTGCATGTAACCAGGTCAGATCGAACACTCTGTTGATCCCCTGCCTCCCTTCTCTCTGTATGCATACATTCTACACAACATATGCAGACATCTAAGACTGCTGCCTTTATACCCAATATACACTTCATCAACTGATTTTATGAGATTGCACATATAGTCAATCCACACAAATCACCAGTCTTTCATTCAACATGGAGACTTGTACGTTGTAGGCATTTATGAATGTTTGTTCAGTTTTTTAAAGACTTTTTACTCTATGAGTAATGCTTTGTTTGTGTTCTGAAAGTGACACTTGATGATAGGAATGCATAATATCTAAGGGAATAGAGGAGGGACAGGCTGACTAGGAAAATACTCAAGTCTGGTGACATCCTCAGCCCTTCAGACACTGTGCACTGTTCTTATCCTAAAGAATATCTCAAAGTCCTGAGTCTCAGTAACAGTCCCAAGCAGTTGGCTTTGTTAAGAGCTTTGGTTCATTATATTTGAGGTTAAATATAGAAATAATGCATGTTTTTGTTTCAATCGCCTCTATATTTGGGCCAGCAGCCAAGCTACAAAAACCTCTGAGTGAAACTTTATTGGATAAAAAACAACGCTTTTCTGAAATTTGTTGTGAATGTAGCTAAGGGAGTATTTATGTTTAGCCTATCTTTTCAAACATGTATATTTACACATATACAGACGTGTATATGTGCATATATATACATACACACTTATGAATAGAATTTTTCTTCATAGATATACAATTGTATTGCATATGTAGCAGGAGATGTATAAACTATATAGGTATACCACCTAACAAATGGTATATTATAAATTTTCAAAACCTCTCTTACAGACTTTCCAGCTTTCAGTGAGAGCAACAGATTCAGCAGGCTTGTTCTGTCAAGGAACGATAATTATCAATATTCGAGACATAAATGATGAGACGCCTCAGTTTGAGTAAGCACATTCATTTCAAAGTGTGAGCATAGGTAAATGGTTAAAGCAAACCTTTCGTATATATTACAAATGACAATGAGTGGAAAATCATACCATGTTCTGTCAAAAACATATTAGTATATACCCACAATTAATGCATGCATGGATGCTATACAATGTGTGTGAGAAAATACCTAAAATGAGTTTAGAAGTGACCAACCTGTAATATGATGGAAATATTTGGTTGTGCTTTTTCTTTCATTTTCAAGCTTTTCAAAGCTATTATGCTGATTTAAAAACTGCACTGACAAAAATGTTTAAAATATTTAAACATTTCATTATCATATTCCCAAGTACAATGTAACAGGAAATATTTGCAGATTGTGAATACGTATTTTTCATACTTCAAAACATAGCAATTAAATATTCTACTATAAAAACAAAGCAGCCAAATACTTAGATTTGTAATGAGAAAGAAGTAATAATGCTGAAGTCACTTCCTTTGATTTACTAAGTTGTGTCTCTACTATAGGGAGGAATTCATTGAGTTCCTGAATTCACCTGGCTGGATCTGAGAAACTGAAGCAAACTTAGAGTTTCAGTAATCCCTTATTTCTGAAAATAATTTATCTGCAGGTCTACCTATATTTGTAGTAAAAGTTCCATCATGATTTAAGGATAATCTTCTGCTGCTCTTATCTTTTAATAAACATAATTTTATTGCCTGTTTAACAAAATTTATTACCAAGTATATATGAGCCACAGCCAAATTAATATATAGTTTCTAAGCATACTATTTATATTTGAAGAGACACAGAATGCTAAGTAATAGCGAAACAGAAAATGAAGGGATTTACAGTGTTCCAGAATATAATTATTATAAGGGACACTGTATTTATTATATTAGATGTGAAAGAGAAGCCAAGTGAGATATGATCAAGAAGTTTGCTTGGAGACACAGCAACACACATTCAACTCTCATGTCCTTGGACCTCACATGGCACAGAAGTTATCAGTTACATACAATGCCATAAAATGCCAAAAAAGAGACTTAGATTTCATAAATGTTCTGGACATGATCAGAGACAATGTGAGTCTCAAACAGATAGTAAATAATGTTACAGAAACTGACTTAATACATTTCTCTAAATTACAGTTTTGGGGAGCCTCTCATCCTAGAGTTTACAAGATGACTGAATATATTCAGTGTTTTATGTTCATTTGCCACCTATTCCATGTATTGGTTATCTGGAACAATGGGGAAGCATTATTTCATTCTGTTTTTCATTTTCTATCTCTCTTATTCTGTGGTATTCTTAATAATTTGGTCTAATAGCAGAAACTACATAAAATCATATTCAAAAAATCTGTGTAATGTTATGCCACAAACAGATTTTCTTAACATCCGAATACATTGGGAGCTTTTAAGTTCTTGAAAAAAGGTAATGCTTTTATAAATCCAGAAGTTTCTTAATTATAACTCAGCAATTACAATATGAGTTGCTACTAAAATTTTTCTTCACAATTTTATTCCTAGACCATTTCCTATGGATTCAATTAATGTGACTGAAAAGAAACCCATTGGAGATTTTGTAGCAAGAGTAAAAGCAACAGACCGTGATAAAGACAGCAGCATCATATATTCCTTTAAAACCCAGCAGGAAGTGTTTGGTTTAGATCCTTGTAAGTTTTATATAAATACTTCTATACTTTAGCTGAATGTACACTTACCTCTACATGCCCTTGAGAGCTTGGGCTGGTAAAATTCCTCTTCCAAAATTGAACACTGAGTAGGAAACACAGCAGACACATGTGACATTTATACTTACAACTTTTCTACTTATTAAAAACATCTGTGGAACACACAGGTATCTCTTTGGTCATATTTGTAAAAATTGGGACTTTTAGCAGGTAATTTGGTGTTAAATATAGGATTATGGGTAGATTTTTGTCTATGTGGATAACGTAATTGTTATTGTGGTGTTTTGATATACATGATACTTTCAAATTTGGCAACTGAACAACAAAACAGAAGCACCAAGAATATGGAGAAGCTGACTGTGTAGTTTTAGACTGTCTGTCATAGCTAATTCTAGAGGTTGAAGTCAGGGAAGGAAGATGGACATAAAGTGAGAAAATTTAAGGTAGATTAGAACACAGAAGGATAAGAGAGATTCCATCAACTTGACTTGGCCTGTAAAAGGTTTTGCCTCTGACTTGGATGGTATTGGTGCCCTGCAGAAGCTGGGTCCTTCAAACTCAGAGTTTAGTATGCATACCAATTCTAGAAGTCAGGGACCTGAAAGATAGCCTGGATTTGTTCAATCTGTAGTTGAGTATAGCCATGGATACAGCAATAAAAATTATAAACCTATTTAAAACATTTTGAAATTGTGAATGTGTGTGTGTGTGTGTGTGTGTGTGTGTGCGTGCGCATGCTTTAATACACAACTCAACTGCATGATTCTTGAGCATCTTCGTGGTAGAATACAGTGTGCTGCAACAATGTCCTAAGGAAAGGCCGAGGGGAAGATAAGGTAGTTACAAATTCAGTTGTAGCCAGTTTCTTTCAGCAGCAATACAGTAGATAAACCAAAATTTATCTAAAAAGCTAAACTATCATACAATAAAGGATGTTGCCTTTCCAGTCTCCAAGTTGACCAATTATCTCCCTGTGAGCCACCAAAATGAAAAGCACATGAGAATAGACTAATCAAGTTGGCACGTTACAAAGCCATAGTACCGATCAACTATTATTTGAGAAGATTTATTTCAATCCATAGTTTTACATTTGTTCACAAATCTTCAAATTCAGATATCTGTGGAAGAAAGTAAGATGCTAGTAGAGTCCCAAAGACTTGTGAAAGTGCTGAAGATGTTCAGGGTAAGGTCAATGTTGATCATTCCAATGCAAGAAGAAGAAGAAAGTCTCAGAGGGAAAGAAGGTGGTGGCCAGGGATAAACAGTCACCGCACTTCAGCAAACTTTTCTCAGTTTGACACTTGAACTCATTCTCCTACAACTTTTGTGGATAACAAAGTGACCAAAGCTTATCATCAGAAGCAGTAAATGATTGGGATGAGTTTTCACACTCACTACTACAATATGTTATGATGAATATCAAATGTGACTTCTTATATTTGGTAATTTAGAGTAGGGGTTCTATTTGATATATTTGGTAAACAAATATGTCATAATTTAGACGTTTAAAGGAAGTATTATGAAACAAACTTTAATATGTGATTATTTTAAAATAAGATTGTAGTAAATAAAAAGCTGTTTTGGAACGTTGTTGAAACTGTAAAGATGAGTTACATTTGCTTATGATGTAGAACATTATTTTAAACATGTAAAGGTGTGTTGCTTTTGTTCATGTTATGTTTGTGTAATTTTATAAGGATATTTTGTATTTGTTTCACCTTGCCTGACTAAGGCACCTTATTGGTCTAATAAAAAGCTGAATGGCCAATAGCTGGGCAGAGAGATGGATGGGCGGGGCTGGCAGGTAGAGAGAATAAGTTCGAGGAGAAATCTAGACATTAGAAGAAGAGAAGAAGAAGAAGGGAAAGAGAATAAAGGAGAAAGAGAGGTACACACGCCGGGCCAGAAGCCAGTCAGCCACCAGACAGACAGACCCAAGAAACAGTAAAAGTAAGATACACAGAAGGAAAGAATAGTAAAAATTCATGAGGAAAATGTAGATAAAGAGAAACAGATTAATTTAACTTAAAAGAACTAGTCAGAAAAGATGCTAAGCTAGGATGATTATTCATAACTAATAGTAAATCTCCATGTCATGACTTGGAAGCTTGTATGTGGCCCTAAATGAAAAGACCTGGTACAAAAATCTTTAAATATTTGCAATGGATATATACTTGATAAATATCAACTTTCTTATGGATGAAAATTATGTCTTTATTTAAACATAATCAATGTCAACTAATGTAGGAATAAATATTTGAGTCTAATAGTTTTTTCCTTCCTTAGTCACAGGTATAATCACTGTTCTTCAGTCTTTGAATCTTGACAACCCAAGTAACCCCAGAACCTACTCTTTAGAAATTGAGGCGAGGGATGATGGCAATAACACCAGCTCATATGTGTTCACAGTTTTTGTGGAGAATGTTGATGATCCTATTTCCTGTGATTCCAATTTTGCAACAGGTGCAGGTATATTACACATAAATTTCATTTCAAAGATTCTAGAAACACTGTCCTATAAGAAGTACTATGGAATCATAGTTGAGTTTACTTGATGATGTTATTTAGTGTGAAGGATTCTAAAGACTGAGCCCAGCACCTTATGAATTTAGGGGCATGGTCAATCATTGAGCTATAGTTGTAGTTCTCAGGTCATTTGAAACAAAGGTTCACTTCATAACTCAAGCTGGACTTGGATTTGTGATGCCACCTTGTCATTTTACCACCATGTGCTGCCGTGTCATTATCCCACTGTGTACTATTGAATCATTCTCCTACAGTGTGCTACAGTGTCACTCTCTCCCTGTGAGCTACAGTGTCATTATCCCACTGTGTACTACTGAATAATTCTCCTACAGTGTGCTACAGTGTCACTCTCTCCCTGTGAGCTACAGTGTCATTATCCCACTGTTTGCTACTGAATCATTCTCCCTCTGTGAGCTACAGTGCCATTCTTTCATTGTGTGCTACTAAGCTTGGAAAGCTTTATTAACAGTAATTATTGAAGTAAAAGTGGTTATTAATTTGAAGGTGACCAAGGGTAGGTATATGGGAGGATTTCAAAAGAGAAAAGGGAATGCTTTTTTAAAAAGAAATAAACTGGGCGGTGGTGACTCACGTGTTTAATCCCAGCACTCGGGAGGCAGAGGCAGAGGCAGGTGAATCACTGTGAGTTCGAGGCCAGTATTGTCTACAAAAGTTAGTTCCAGGACAGCCTCCAAAGCCACAGAGAAACCCTGTCTCAAAAAATAAAAAAAGAAAAAAGAATTAAAAGCTGGAAAGAAGGAGAGATGGGCTAAAACGTAAAAAGATAAAAATAAAATAGCATCTGTGTGCTTCAAATTTCAGTTGTAGTTATGAATTTGTGTGATACATGGAGAACAGTAATGGAAATAGTATTCCAAATGAATATGTAACATGGGTGAATGACCCTCACAAGCTGTCAAATGTATGAAAATTCAAATGATAAGATATGAGTTAAATATCTGAGGAGATAGTGCCGTCAGTGCATTTTGCAAGAGTGAGGACCGATGTCAAATCCCCCAGAACACATGGAAAGAAAACAAAACAAGCAAACAAAACATCAGATGGTGTTATGTGCTTGTAATACTGCTGGTGAGGCAGAAATAGGTGGGTCTCTGGAGTGCCTTGGCCAGTCAGCCTAGGCAATTGGTACAGTCAAACTTAGACAAAGAATGAGTGGCAGCTAAGGAATACTGAGAGAAGGAGAAACAGTCATTCTCAAGGGGAAAGCACACAAATTGTTTATCCAATACTATGTAGTTATTACTGAAAAAATTAATTCAAGTAACATTGTATGGACTGTGAAGATTGTATTTATATATTTAAGAACACACACACACACACGCAATTAATTTAAAAAGAGACCATAAATTTGATAGAAAACAAGGGGGTAGGGATATATGGTAGTAGTTGGAAGGAGGAAATGAAAGATGTAAAATGATGTTATTAGAGTATAATTTCAATTTTAAATATTACAGTTGAAAACAAAGCAAAACCTACATGAATCTGGGTGCAGGCAAGCCTTCTGTTTTAGTGTTTGTGAAGATATTATCTTTTGGATGACAATGAAACGATTTGATGGTGTTCTTGGTAATTTCATTTTAGTGTCTCCATATTATAGTAAATTCTTAAAAGATGCACATGGATCTCAAGGTCATTATGACCCGATTTTCACCATAGACTTGGCTGAACTGCTAAGACAAGCTTGAGATCTGGAAGACTTAGACTCATCATATGAGTGGTGTCCTTGCAACTGAGGCCAAACATGAAGAGTTCACTTTGAATTAAACAAACGTAAACTTCTGTGAACTTACTCCAAAAGACATTGACCCAGTTTTCATGCTGCTGATTCGACATACTGTATAATCAATTTGCCTACTGCTTCTACCTGTGTAGAAGGGATAGCTCTGCGGAGTGAATCATTAACTCAGAACATCCGTTCACATACATTTGGTGTAGAACAAAGGTTCAAAGACAACTGGTCCTAGTTCATCCAAAAGTTGTTCTGTTAAAATCCATAGAAATATCGAAAAGTGAGGATTCTGTGGGACTACCGAAATAGATTATAAACAATAGCCACAGAACCTGAGAGATGGCTCAGTGGTTAAGAGCACTTGCTGCTCTTGCAGAGGGCCCAGCTTTGCTTCTCAAACTTACATGGTGGATCCCAACCACCTGGAACTTCAGTTTCAGAGGATCTTATCCTTCTTTAGGCATTCTCAGGTCCATGCATACATGTGGTACATACACCTGTATTCTGACACTTGCATATAAACACGAAACAAAAATAAATAAGTAATTCTTCCAAAAGAACCAGACTTGGTGTTAAACTGATGTGCCTGGTAAGTAGAGGATGCTACAAAGTATTCGAATGTATCAAGACGTTGCACATAACTACTAAACAACGCAGACTAAATTCATTTAATTCTGGCTAGATCAAAAGGATGTCAGCAATTATATCTACTTGCTTGTCTCTGTATTCTTTTCTCCCCACGTGTTTCCCTTTTATTCTTCATTGTCATGTTTATGCATGTGGTGTGACTATGTGTATACATGCATGCATGTATGCAACACATGTTTTTAACAGTGGATCAGTTTTTCATCATACAAAGAAACTTCCAATGCCTTACATACTCACATGTACATCCTTTTTATTGTATTTAGGGATGAGATGCGAACACACTTCATTTCATTAGAACCACGATAAAGAGCAGTGTTTGAAGATAGCAACATTTGTTGAGATGTATGAGACATGTATATATTATACTTAATCCTCAGAATCACCGTAAGGTTGAAAATGTACTGTATCTCTGTTGTATATATGATAGGGATGTAGCATAAATTAAAGCACATTTTTATTTGCTTCACCATTTGCACCTATTTTTATGCATTAGTGGGGAAGAAAGTAAAAACTTCAATATTCTAACATCTGTGAATGTAAGCAGAAGTATTCTTGTAAATAATAATGCCTCAGACTCTGAGCAGATTCCTCACATCAACCAAATATTTAAATTTAAAAATAAAAATTTGAATTATGTTGACTCTTTTAAATATCAAAATTTAAAAGCAGTTCTCTAGGCTGGGTTTTCTCCGGTTAGAGTCAAGTCAGTCAGTAAGGGGCGGGGTGGGGGGGGAGATTGCCTCTGCTCATGCGTTGGAGACTAGCCTGGACAGCTTAGAGAGACTTCGTGTCTGTCTACGGAAATGGGGGTGTGCGTGGCTCGGTGCTTCAGTGTAGGGTCTGCAAGCGTGAAGACCTGGGGTCATTTCCCTAGCACACACACACAAATTGGGTATGATAATGCCTGTCAATAAATCCGTTACTGGGAAGATGAAATGAAATCTCAGGGGCGCACTGCCCAGAAAGCACAGCTGAAAATGAGAGCTGCAGTTAAGTGAGGAAACTTGTTTCAAAAATAGGAAAAAGCAATTATTGAATAACACAAGAAACCCGATTTCTTGCCTTCCCATGTGTCTGTTTGGGCGATTATGCCAGTAAACACGCATATGACCCCACCCCCCAAGACGTAAATAATGTAAAAGAAACAGATCAATATTGATGTCCGTGTGAGTAAGCATTTGTAGTGTTTTCTAGAGAAAGTATCCATAAAGAATTACTCAGTAGAGACTTTTACACGGCCTGATGACTTACAGTAGCTGTGTGAAGCAAGACAGGACAGAGGTATGAGCTATTTAGTAACTGTCAATTTCTCATGTGATTGTGTAGGCGTTTCTGTGTCTGTTGCCGAAAATATCCCCTCCTCTGCTTTTATATATGCAATTCTTTCAAGAGATCCAGATTTGGGACAAGAAGTTGAAGTAAGTTTTTTTTATTGTCACTTATATTTTCCCAAAAATAAAAAAGCAGAGTGCATTGATTAATTTTTTTTAATGAGCAAAACTTGTTTCCTCAGGCTTTAACTAAACTAGGCTTTATATCTTATGATGCTTACTGAAGGGAGAGAGGGAATTTAAGCTTTTGAATATTGTTGAAAAATGAAAAGGATAAGACAGAAAATGGAATTCATAGACCTAAAACAGTTTGAAAACCCTGTAAGTGAAGAGTGTACTATCATTACCATTGATGATGCTTTTGAACTCTAGAATATTCACTTCTGGTTCATTTCCTTTCCTTTTTTATCTTCTTTACTAGACTCACGATTTTCATAAAGGATACTTAGACCTTCATATTATTTTGGTTTCACTAATAGTTTGTAAATAAGAATTAATAAATGATAGATGATGAAATAGTTATGCCTTCATGGAAGAGGTGAAATAAATGCATCATTCTGTTTTCTCAAAAAATTTTTGGTGCAATACAACCCATACATAATTATATTTCTATGAAACAAATTTAGCTTCTTGATAGTATAATACATTATATTAATAGTTTGGGATATTATTCCATAATTTCAATGGTTTAGTCAATGTCTCAATAGAATGGGCAAGAGTTTTCTGTTTGCTCATGCTCGTAACAACTGACTTATAAACAAACTTTGGAATATGGCTAAGCTGAAGCTTAGGAGAGTAGCTCTCAGGAAACTTCGTGGAGTTTCTATTCTGGTTTGATCACAAATTATTGTTTAGCGTACTCAGATTATCTTGTTTTTCCTTATCAAGTTTTTAGACTGAGAAAACCACATAGGAAAATAAAATTTCTTCTTGTTGGACTGAAAAGGCCCATGTATGAGAGCATACTGTATTGGAGGGGAGAATGTAAGAACAGTGTGTGATAGAAGTTGTGGGATATTCTTTCATGTATGTATGGATACTTGAATGTATACACATGTATATTTTCTGTAAACGCAATTAGTTAATTTTGCAAACCCCAAATCATCATCATAATAAAAGAAATAAAAGTTTTTTCCCATAAAAACTTTATGGGATTCTCTTCTAAGTTGACTTTAGTTGTTCAGAAATGGTCTAGAAAAGTACCATGATGTATCCATCCACAAAGTAACTCAGTGTGTCCATCAACATGGCTGTCATGTCTCTTTTGAAGCAGGTTTTATTGTTTCTTTGAACCAAAATCAGGATGCCATTTTTTTGTTTTTGTTTAGTTTAGCCTCTTAATAGTTTTTTTGCATCCTATAATATTTTTGCTAAGTCTGGGATACATTATCCTGTTTAAGTGTTAGAGTAACAATAGAGAAGATTATGTCATTGCTCATAAAAACAACCTGTTTGTTTAAAGTATTATTTTATTTTATTTTTTCATGCCTAAAGTCAGTACTGGGATGAGACCAAACGCTGTTGTGTGTACCTCTTTAGATACACTATTCAGTGTACAAGAGGGAATAGGGTTTTATATTGAAAAAAGCTGTCAATGTAACACTAGAAAGTAAACTAATTGTGAAACCAATGACAGCTATTTACCAAAAATGCCCGAGTTCTTAAGCACAAAACAAAATATGGAAAAAGTACAGCTGAAAACGTGAAGGAATGTTTGCATTGTTTTTGAAGTCTGGATACAAAAGCAAGTTCAGATTTTATTTATGGGCACTGTCTTCACAAAATGAAGCTGAGCGTAGCTTTTGCCAAATAATTGCATCAAAAATGTCAGTTCAAAATTCATGCTTTGAGAATAATATATCAGCAATGTTTGTGGTTTTTGTTCCTAGTTTTTGATATTGAATTCTTCAACCAATGCCACTGCTTACTTTGCCTTGGATCCACATAGTGGTGTCATTTCTAAAACCTTGGAACCTCTTTTGGATTATGAAAAAGATCCTAAGGTGAGAACAACCAGCGTTTTAAAACAACAAATGCTATATTTGCCCTTTAGTCAAAATGTTTGGAATTTACTTAAAATGAAGCAAAGCAAAAGAAGACACCCAATTCATCTAGATCAGTAGAAACTCATTTAAAGACATATTGAGGAGCACATTTGATGCATTTGTTACAAAGGTCTTGGGATGAGGCGTGGGCATGTTGGGGTACCATCCAGTACATTCTGTATGATGGACAAAGACAATGGAAAGAAAGTGACAGAATCATGGGAGAGTTGCAGATGCCAGGAGAGTGAGAAGGACAGGTGTAGCTAGAGAGCCTTAAGTGTGGTTACAGAAAAGCAACAACCCTAGAGAGAACAGAAAAGGAAATGCAGACTTCCTTAGAGCACACAGCAGCTCCCATGAGGACCGCAGGGCACCCAGAGCCCATAGTCTGCCAGGAGACTCTGGGTCTACCTTCTGTAGGATCCTTGGGCCTTCCCCTTTCAGGACTCTCTACCTGCCACCATCTCTGGTCCTGCCCAGGCATACCCTGTCTTGTGGCACACACAATTTTCCCTAATACTCCTTCACATTGATATTTTAATTCTAGCTGCATTGATTTTTAAATTAAATCGAGAATAATTGACATCTATAAGCTTTAGGCATTTATTTTTATTTTTAAAAAATATTCAAAACAGATATTTGTATAATACATGCTGACCAGTTTTCCTCCTCTCAGCTCTCCCACACATCCCCTCTACCCTAGACCTCCATTATCTCTCCCTGTCCCTTCAGAAAAGAGCACACCTCCAAAAGAAAACAACCAAACACGGCGAAACAAGAACAGTAAGACAGTAAGATAAGGCAAACACCCTCATATCTGGAGGCTGGACAAGGCAGGCCAAGCGGAGAAAGAGTCCCTAGAACAGGCAAAACGAGTCAGAGACAACCCCACTCTCATTGTTAGAAGTCCCACAAAAACACCGAGTTAACAGCCATAGAACACAAAAAGGGCCTGGTATAAACCCAAGCAGACCCCGTGCTTTCCTTTTCCATCTCGGTGAACTCTGCTTAGTTGACGGGGAACGGAGAGCATGTTCTCCTGGTGTCCTCTATCCTCTCTGACTCCTGGTCTTTAGGTTCTCGAGTTCTCGTGGGAGGGACCTGATAGAGACCCCCAGTTTAGACTCTCTTCGCCTAATGTCCATCTGCGGATGGATTTCTGTACCTGCTCCCATCCGTGCCATAGAAAGCGTTTCTGATGATGACTAGAGAAGGCACCTGTGACTATTGCAGAATATCATTAGGAATAATTTTTTTATTTTTCCCCTCCCTCCCTCCCTCCCTCCCTCCCTCCCTCCCTCCCTCCCTCCCTCCCTCCCTCCCTCCCTCCCTCCCTCCCTCCCTCCCTCCCTCCCTCTCTCCCTCCCTGCCTCCCTGCCTCCCTGCCTCCCTTCCTTCTTTTCTTTTTGCTAGTCACATTTGGTTCTGGCTTAGAAGTCCTGTTCCTGGCTATCTAGGCAGTATAGGACATGGGCTCCCACTCTTGGCGTGGGCCTCAAGTTAAAGCAAACAGTTGGTTGGGCACTCCCACATGTTCTGAGTCACCATTGCCTCCTACATCTTGCAGACAGCACAGATTCTCTTTTGGGACCCTCAAGAGTGCTTCCCAGTGCCACACACAGGGGTGCAAGCTCCATGAGCCGCAAGCTCTACCTCTGTAAGATCAGGGAGCAGAGGGGATGTTGTCCTAGGCAATGCAGCCCCGCAGTCAGTTTTCCCTAAGTGACCTGAATGTCTTTCACAATATTTGTGTAACCTTCCAAGGTACCTTGAATTTTATTCCTATATATTCACTTGTTGTCCATCATGGCTATACAGGACAAATGATTTTTGTCTTGAAAATACCAATTTTGATAAATACCAAGTGACTGACCGCTTGGCGTTGAATAATCAATTAGTGAACGTCTCCCTGGAGACAGACTGCTCCTCTATACCCCTTTGTTTCCTGAGGTACTTGGTCTATGGCAGTGATTCTCAACCTGTGGGTGGCAATCTTTTTGGCCAAACTCTCTCTCCAAAACTATTTACATTATGATCCAAAACAGTAGCAAAATTACTGCTATTAAGTAGCAAAGAGAATAATTTTGTGGTTGGGGGTCATCAGAACATGAGGAACTGTATTAAAGAGCAGCAGCATTAGGATGGTTGAGAACCGCTGGTCTACAAGTGGGGCCCTGTGAGATTTTCCCCTTCATGTTGGCATATCTGCTTGTGGTGTTCTTTTTCTGGTTGTGTTTAGGCAGCGATATTTCTGAGATTACATGGGTGAAATTTTTTAGGCGTTTGGTTAAGATCAAGTATAAAATCTGTTCTGATCAGTTTGCCAAAGTTTTTTAACTGGAATTTGATTTGATACAGGTTTTTTTCCTCCTTTTTTTCAGATAATATTTGGCTTCCTTTTTTTCTTAATTTAGTAATAGTCCGTGTTACGTTTTCCCTGTTATTATAATATCCTTGTTTTCTGATTTACACTAATATTTTAATTTATTTCCATATTTTAATCCTGATTATATTCCTTTATGTTTGTCTAGTCAAAGCTCATGGTCCTTTCTATATTCATTTGTCTGTTTTTTAAAAAGGAGTTCATCTTGAGGAAGGATAGTCATTTACAAAATCTATTTGGGCAGTGCTGCTGAGTCACGCCTTGAAAGGAACATATGGCAGATTTCTCCAAATGTTTGATATAATCATTACTTCTTCCCTGCCTTTTGCCCCTTTCCCTCCTTGCCCCCTTTCTATTATTTTACTCTGTATAAATATTGATCTAATAATCAAACTACCACTAGATAAAATTTCATCTTTCTTTGATTTGTGTGGCTGTCTTTCTCATGAGGATATGATGTTTATCATCGTAAATGCTTTCTTACTATGCAAAATATAAAGAAACAATAGGTTTCCTTGTTTCAGAAATACTATGTTTTTAATCTGTTTTTTACTTTTGACAATTCCATATGTTAATATGTACTCACACTATTTCTCCATCCCTCCCTCTCTCTCCTTTTTCTTCTCCCATGTCCCATTCATTAGCTCCATCTCAAATTCTCGAACCCTTTTTCTGTAAACCGCACACACACACACGTGCACATTCACATGCACGCACACATGCCCCCCACACGTTTGTAACCCCTGCATGCACACACTCTCACACACACCTGCATGTACACACATGCACACATTCACACACACACCCGCATGGCCCCACATGTGCTTGCACACATCATATATGTACACACATACACATGTACACACATAAACATGCAGGCATGTACACACACACACACACACACACACACACACACATGCCAGTCATTCCTGTAGGTCACAGGATTCACAGTTGTGTGAGACTGATGATTTCTTTTCTCTTCTACCAGCAATGCACACAGCAATTTGTCACACCATGAAAAACAGCCAGTAAGAATAACAGTTCCGTATCAGCACCAGCTTGAATTAGCCAGATTTTAATAACTCAAGTATGTTATGTTTTCAGCAATAGGGTTTTAGTATCAAATTCTGTCAGTGAACCAAATGAAATGGCAAAATTCTGTGATATTTGAAAGTGTGAAGAACCCTACTTGACTCAAAAAGAGGTAACCCATTCCCGATACTGTTTTTTGTTGTTGTTGTTGTTAGCATGTGTCATCTGGTTAAGGTACTTAAACCATTTTATATATGTCCATGGATTTATTTTTCAAAGCTCTTTCTGCTATGCCTTTGATACACAGTCTTCCTCATATTCTTTCCTCTATTCTGACTTCCATTCCTCAATGCATTTAATCTTTCAAGGAAGGAGAAATGGAAGATAGTACTATAAAGGAGACAAGGGAAATAGGCAAATGAGAATTAATTTTATATAATTTACGCTCACTCATTTGAAATATTCCTGGAGTAGAAGTTTCAATAAGGGAGCTTGTCATAGGATTTAGTGCATTTTGATATGACTTTTACATGCATATTCAATGTGCTTAATGTTTACAGAATTAATTTTAATAAATAAAAACTAAAATCAGAATTTACCAGCCTTATCATTATCTTGTAAGTCTACAGTTTACAATCGTTTGATTGTGCTAGAAATCATATATTAATTTTTACATATTTTAAATTGATAAAAAGTTAATGAGTTATCAATATTTTATGAAAGTATAATATGCTTAAGATTTTTCTAAACAATGAGACTTAAAAATTTATTTTAGTACTTCAATTAATTTAACTCATATTTTCCTACAATGCAATAAATTGATGTGTAAAAATACAATCCAAAATCTATGATAATTAAAAGATAAGCATTTATTGTAGAAATCCATACATTAAAAATAGGAGATAACCCTTTCAACAAATGTTAGGATAATCAGGAATGGTGAAGTTTGTGTTTCCAGGCTTTTCCCCCCCCTTTTTAAAAAAATTTAAATTAGAAACATGCATGCTTCAAATGTCAATCCCAGCTCCCCCCCTTTTTCCTCCCAGCCCCCTCTACCCCCCACCCCCAGTCCAATCTCCACATCTTTTCCCAGGAAGTTTGTCATTTCATTCAGGGCAGGACCTAAGCCCTTCCCCATGTGTCCAGGCTGAGAGAGCATCCCTCCATGTGGAATGGGCTACTAAAGTTCATTCGTATGCCATGGTGAACACTAATCTACTACCCAAGGCCCCAGCGATTTCTGAGGCCTCCTCACTGACACTACATTTCATTTTTAAAACATTAATTTTAACGTAAAAGAAAGTTGACTGTGTCATGCAATCAAAGTGAAAAAACTAAAACATTCTGTCTTTTGTTTCTAGTTTTTCCAGTTAGTAATTGCTGTGAGAAATAGGGACAGCCTGTCTCTGGAGTCATGTGTCGGCACCATCACTATAAACATCCAAAATGTTAATGACGAGAGTCCTGTTCTGATGTAAGCAACACTTAATCTAAATATTTAAGTGTTTGAACTAACCATTGGAAATGTTTTATTGCAGGATAAAGATCAGTGTTTTAGTTTCTTTCATTGCAAAATTTCTTTTAATATTAATGCAACCTTGAAAGCAAACTTCTGTGAGCTTGATAGCATTGGACTTTGTTTTTACTCACATGCTGTAAACAAAATTAACCCCATTTATGTTTTGCTCTTGAAACTACAGAGAAAGATTATTTTTTTCATGGAATAGAATTAAAATGTTTTTGCTCTTTGTAATTAATAAGAAAGGTAGTATAGAAATGAACATTTATATGTTTATATTGTGAGATCAATGTAACCACTCAAGAGAATTAGGACACTAAATAGTTTTTGACATGGATATAAGTCCAAAGTTATATAAAATGAAAAATTATTTGGAAGTTTTCATAGCTTTTTCTTATCTGTTATAATTTATAATTTCTCAGTAAGGTGAAGGACTAAAGGAACAGAATGAATAACATATTGTTTAAGCTCATTTAGAAATATATCAACAATGGCTAATGTATATACAGTAATTTTCAAGTTTCTTTAATTCAGAGGCTCTAAGTTGTCACAAAAGATATACTGCATGAAATTTCAAATATTTTCTGTGTAACCATAGATGGAAAGAGACATTTGTTTACACTGAGTACTAAAAACTTCTTCTTTGCTTTCTAGATACAGTCCTGATGCACCTATAAGTATTAATGAAAATCTGCCTGTGGGAACAAAGTTGGCCAAGTTCATGGCAACAGATAGAGATATAGAGGATGATGTACATTATGAACTTATAGGTACACAGAAAGAGTTTGCTATAAATGAAGGTATAATAATTTTATGTGGTTAATCATTTCAGAAAGCATACTATAAGGTACTTCATTAAACTAAGCTCTGAAGTCATCATATCTGAGTGAAATGATATTTAAAATATGTAGAGAGCACTTAGCATATTTTTATAAAGGAAATAATAATCCTTCCTTCCTTGTTAGAAGGATGTGTTCCCTGTGTCCATCTACTCTGGCAGACTTTTCCACAATCCAGATATGCAAGTTTGGACTGGAAACTTATTTTATGAACTTTGTTTGAGAAATCAATTTTCCCATGGAAACCAGAACTTTAGTTATCATAAACATAATGTTCATTTTATGTCATACATTGTTTTATGGTAGTACATTACATATATAAAAAGCCAGTTTGAACTTTTACTGAACCAATCTCAATCTGAAATGTAGTTCTGGGGAGGAGTTTCTGTTTCCTTCTCCCACCACCACGGAGGGGAACAGAGACAGGGCCTTGTAAGTGCTAAGCAATGCTGTATACCTGAGCTACTCAAATCCCCACCCAACCTACACACACACACCACACACACACACTGGATTTCACACACACACACACACGATTTCACACACACACACACAATGGATTTCACACACACACCACACACACACACACATATTGGATTTCACACACACACACACACACTCACAGACACCCACACACACCCCCACACCTCCCACACACACACACTGGATTTCTGTGACTTGCAAAAGCTTGAGTTCAGCCTGTTTGAGTGCAACACTTGTGATTTTAAGGGCATCTTGGATGCTCGGAGATTGAGAAGCTGACTGTCTAGCAATTTAGGCATGAGGTTAAAAGATGGAGTAAAGAAATACTCCTCCTCCTTTTAGGGCATTCACAAATGAATAGAATACAATTAAACGTGCGCTTCTCATCAACTCAATGTAAAGACTCGCATGTGTGGAGAGGAGGATGGATTGGGATAGCCCGTAGAAGGAATGCAAGCATGGCAAGGCAGACCTTAAACAGAGAGAGGGAGGGTGAGACAAGGCTGGTTTCTTCTGCCTGAGATGTGCCTCATAAAAATGGAAAGTAGGAAATTTGGATGAAACAAACACCAATAAGTAAATCTGATAGTATCAGAATGAACTTAAAATTTTAATACGTGTATTTAGGAAACTCAATGGATATGTGTTCTTTTTTTTCAGATCCAGGGGGACTAAAGGGACATGACAAGGAATGCTTCTAAACTAAGTCTTTTTATAAAAATATTGAAACAATCAGTGAAATTTGAGTAAGACTTTTAGAATCAGGATGTTCACTCTAGGATTATTGTACTTGTTTTGTAGCTGAGCTGGAGAATACCTTGGGGGTGGGCAACAATGAGGTCATGCTCTTAATCTTTTATTGTTCAGAAAAAGAACATTTGCACAAAGTTGATTATTTAAAAGTACACTCAGTATGAAAGTGGTCATTAAGGGTAGAGGGATAATGGCTATCAAAGAAAGGCAGAGAAGGTACTTGGATTATACAGAAAAATTCCTGGAGAAACACAAATATGACTAATATTCAACACTTTTTTCAAGACTATAATCCTAGAATAAAGCACAAGAAGCTAGGCTTTTTCCAAAGTAAGGTTCCAGTGAAAATCAGTACAGACATTTTAGTAAACTATTACAAGTTGATTTGTTAAATATAGTATTGTTTTTGTCTTGGTAAAATGTCTTATTTACTGTAAGAGTGTTAGTTAGATTATAAACAGATATTCCTCTAGCACCTATTCTGTAAGATTAAAATGTAGCATATTAAGGAAAATTGAAAACACAAAATGTGAATTTAAAAGCTCACATGTGGTATCTGGAGAGATAACTTAATGGTTCAGAGTATATGCTGCTCTTACAGAGGATCCAGGTTCCATTACAGTGCCCACACTGGCTGGTTAGCAGCCATCTACAGCTCCATTTCCAGGGAGCTTCACGTCCTCTTCTGGATTCTTAGAAACTTGCAGTTACAGGCCTTTCACCCCCATATATATATATATATATATATATATATATATATATATATATATATACACATGTAAGGTACAAGGAAGCAATCCCGCTGGAGGTTTACCACCATGATAATCAGTTAATTATATACATACAGTTTGCAAAGCAGTGTACAACTCTAAAGCCTGCACGTTGTGCTAGCACAGATGCAACACAAATATATAGGAAATTAATTCCTGCCTGAAGTGTCTCTTTTACTTTTTGCTGATTTTTGTTGCTACATACTATCCTAAACACCACTCTTCTCCAGAACCCCCAGTGTTCTCCAGAACCCTGCCTGCCCCATGTTCATTAATTCAGTCTCAGCTTCCCCACGTTTCCCACTGCAGTTTCCGTGAGAGGACCTCTGTAACACCGGTGACTTCTGTCCTCTGACACACACAGCCCCTGTTTCTCATATGTGCATGATTGTGACTTTCTTGTGACTTTCGTAGGTCAACATCTGACCCTTGTTTTATCCCTAAGAGTACTCTGTTCATGTCACATCTTTAATGTACATCTTTGTGGATGCCTTACAGACTTGGGAGATGTCACTGTTGCCTATCCTTTAGACTATGAAGATGAAACAACCCCCAAGTCTTGGGTATTATATGTTAGAGTTTATGACAATGATAAAACACATTCAACAACTGGGACATTCACAGTGATTCTACAGGATGTAAATGACAACCCTCCTCGATGCTCACAGGATATTTACGTGTAAGTAGTGTCGGCGATTTTTTCATCTTCCTTTGGATGTTTGCATAGAAAAAACAGTACAAATGGGTGAGTGAGCATCAGTTATCCTAGAGCAGAAGCAAGAGCCTTTCCCTCTTCTCTTTGTCCACACACATGACACTGCCTCTGCTTCCAACTGCCTGGACAGAATGACTTCCTTCATTTGTTGTCACAAAAGGTAAAAATCAATATGGAAATTCTCCAAAATAAAGAATTCCTAGAAAGCAAACAGTATTCCAGATAAGGAATGTTCCATCTGCATGCAGAAAACCCAAGGGAAATTTAGAAGTGTGTATTCAGAGCATCCAAACATCAAGTAGAGGAGAACAAGAGCATCTATTTACAGTGAGGTGCAAATAGTCTTGCAGGCTGAACAATGAACACTCCAGATTACTGCAAGTTTTCACTTTTATTTCACAAACAATGTTTTCATATCTTGAAATTGGTTTAGGGTACTCTTCCATTGAATAATTTATCTCTCTCTTACAGAGGACATTGTATATAAATAATGCAGGCATGTCTTGATCATTTAAGAATATAGGGCGCAATACCAGCCTCCACATAAAAGGAATAGGTTTGCTTTGCTGAGTTTTAAAAATCAGTGTTTTTGAACTGACAGATGTGAGTATCTGATTGTTGCTGGAGGTCTGGGAGAGGGGCAGGGCAGGGGGCACAGAAGTTTCTGAGGTACTAATACATAGTAGGGTGACTACAGATAACCATAGTGCACTGTGTTGTGTCACAACTTAAAGAATGTAACTACAAAGTCTTCACCCTAAATAAATGGTAAATGTTTAAGAAAGAATATGTGCTTGACTTGATAAAAACACAACTTTCTAGAACATTCTTTATCTTAGCAAATTATATGACTCATCATTCATTTCATTATTTTTCATGCTAAAATGATTATTTTACTTTAATTTGAAGGATTATAATTACAACGTTCCCCCCTTTACATTTCCTTCCTCCTCATCCTCCAATACACCATTATTTGCTGTTTTTCAAATTCACGGACTAAGTTTTCATTGTTATACCTGCTTAAATGTTTACACACATGCATTCCTAAATACAATACGCTCAGTCTGTATTAAGCTACTTGTGTCTATGTTTCTCAGGGATGTAATTAATTGCTTGTGCTCTTACCTAGTGAAGATTATTTCTTCCATTCTCTACCTTCCTTAGTTACGTGTAGGTCTTTGTGTAGGGTTGCGGCCTCACAGCCTTTTCTCCTTGTCAAATTTTGCTTGTCTACTGGCGTTGTCCTAAGTCATCTCAAATTTGAGTTTCATGTTGAAATGTAATGTAAAGTTAAGTTAGAAACATCCTCCAAAAATTGATGTGAAATTCCCCTGTAGTTGTTTGCATTAGACAAATAATTTACCACTGAATTACTGTTAACAATGTAACTTGACCTCAATGAGTCTTTCTTCGCATTGATGAAATGTACCATAAAAATCTGGTAGTTCTATTGTGATTCATGCATTGACATGGGGATTCCTGAATATTTGTGTCTGGAATCTTGTTATGTTCTGTTTCTAAACACAGGAGAGAAGGGAGATACACATGCAGCTGACACTCCACATTCCAATCATCTTACCAGGAATTGTAATTTAATCCACCAGTGCCCATTCCATCTGTTAGTAAACCCCCCACAAGCCATGAGCAGAGGTTGTAGGGAAACTGGGATACACACAGGAAATTGTGAAAATTGGTAAGCAGAATAGTTACTACTGACTTCCAGCTTTACTGAATCTAGAATCACCTTGGAGACAGTTAATGGGTATGTCTGACAAGGAGCTTCTATCATAGGTCAACTGATGTGGACATATCTGCTTCCTCTACCTTCCCCCCCAAAAAAAGTAAAAGATTGGGTTCTGGACTTAAAAGGATAGAGAAAATATGCTGGGCGCTAGCAACCAGCATTCATGGCTCTCTTTGTCTCACTACAAATAAAACATGACCAGATGCATCACGTTCGTGCACCAATGACTATAAAATAATGGACTAGATCACTTGAACTTAAGACAAAGCAAAATAAGCCCTCTTCCCTAAGTTTCTTCTTAACAAGTTTTTTTTGTCATCATAAATAGGAAAGTATTTAATTCAGAGTCAACAGTCCTAGCTCTCGGCTAAGCAAACCTAAGTTGTCAATATTTCTTAGTTTCTTTTTTTAAGGTGGGGAGTATGTTATAGTACCAGTTGAAGGGAGTCATCCTGGCCATTTCATAAGCTCCCATAAAACTTTATGATCTGCAAATGTAGAGTTATCAACCTGAGGAAAAACAAATTGTCATTTGTTCAGTCATATTCATGACAAATTTGCTATTCAGAAATCTAGCATAAGAGCACCGCCATTTCCCTTGGTCTCATCACAAATGTTAAATTATGTCTTGGGCAATTTTTCCTGGATACTATAAAAATCTTATTGTCAAAAGGGCTATTTATGTGCACAACATCTCACATGATCTATTATATTAAATTTAATCATCTACCTAAATCAAGTTAAATATATAAGTTTTTTTCTCATTACAGAATTGAACTTCCTGAGAACACCCCAGTTGACACCTCTTTAGTGTCCCTAACTTGTACAGATCGGGATGGAACTATTCCCAACAACAATATAACTTATCATTTGATGAAAGACGCCTTTTCAAATAAAACCTTTACTATGACAAACAATGAAGTGAAAGTAAGTATCATAAAGTCACTCTGATTGTGTTCCTGTGATTAACCTGAGATAGAAGAAAACATTTATTTTTATTATTATAAAATTGTTAATGAACTGCAGTAGTTCAAATAGCTTCTGGCAGAATTTGTTCCTGTATTGCCAACTGAACCTTAAATTGTTGAACTCCTAGCTTGTTTCAGGATGAATGTTGGAATGCAATTTTCATCATCAGAACTGAACTCAGAAGGTTATGAGTTACTTAAAATAATAGTTTTAGGATAGAATATTGTGTATTTATTTGGAATGTGTTGAAATATCTTTGATAAATATTTTAAATATATTTTAATATAGAGACTATAAATAGAACAAGCATGCATACTTTATTATAGTATCTTGTTAGTATGCCTCAGCTCAAATCAGTTAGATGTATGTGTGTATATGTGTGTATATGTGTGTGAAGATAGACAGGTAGACAAATAAATGATTAGACAGACAGACAGATAGATAGACATATATATATGATATATCTTTTATTCCCAATAAATTTAAAATCTAAGTCAGGCTAAATATAGTTAAATTCATGCATTTTGAAAGTAGATTAGGCAAAGTGAGATTAGGCATTGTGTGCAGCAGCAATTAAATGCAGCTCATCAGAGAAACTGCACATGAACAGCCCAATGTTCTCTGCATGAGAAGGATGAAAGTAATTTGTGCGTTTTCATATGGATTCCATGACACATTTCATGCAAACCACTATTATTCTTGTTCTTTCTTGTTCTGTGAATGAAATGTAGAGAATCACATTCATGATCTCAAATCAGTTGTCTTTCAGTTTTGAGGCTTGTACTGTGCAGCAAGCTAGAAAACACACCCTATTTTGTATGTCTCCATTACTCATGTACTTTTGTACAGTTTAACAGTTTCTGTAGATATTTCTCATATGAATCCATTTCTGACATTTCTTCTGCCTTGTGTTGGTGTCACATATTTCTCATTGGGTTCTCTCAACATTTCAGGTCTGTCCATCTAGTTAGACATTTCATATGTCCCTAGTTAGAAAAAACAAAACTAGTACAGTAACAAATGAGTGTCTGGACCATGTCTAGTTCTGGTTAGATATCTATTAATTATTGACTGAATTGATGATGGACAATAAGGAAAACTTTGTTTGTGGGGTATAGCAACACATTACTTTCAAAAGCCTCAATGTAATACATTCCTACCTACAAATGTTGATGTGATCACAACATGAAAATAGATCTTTGCAATCTAAGTGATAAGATGATAATGCTAGAAAATACAATATCAATATTCTTGAAGTAGTAAATATGAAAACAGTGGAAATGTTTATAGTTGTTTGAATTATTTCCCTTCAAGTAATTATAACAGGATATGAAATATATAAACAAATAACAAAGTTATTGATTTGAACCTTTTCTAATTTTTACTGATTTCCTGAAAACAATAACATACAATTTATGAAATCAAAACCATTAACAAGCTAAACACAGGGATTGATTTTACAAATTCTTTTCTGCCACTTCCTATATGATTGGAATAGGAACAATGGTACTTTCCTCAAAGGGTAATTAGGTTTGAAAGATTACTAAAATGCTTGAATTCTTTCTTTCTCCAAGGCAGAGAAGAGAAACAAGTTAAAGAAAATGATGCAAATTTAACACTTAGTGTATTAAATATTACTGTAGAAACATAGAAAGAAAATATACATGAATTTCCAACAATACCCAATTCTTTAGCTACAAGAATTTACATATAAAGTTTTTAAATGTAAAGCTAAAATTGATTAGTACATAGATAACCAAAAAATGGTATATGTTACAGAAAGATGGGAAATAGAGTTTTATCAGTTATTCAAAACTCAGACTGAGAGCAATCATTACAAATTTATATTAAAATAACAAATAAGTAGCCAGTGGGGTTGAGGACACCAGAAAAAATTGCCTACAGAATCAACTAAGTAGAACTCTTATGGGCTCACAGAGACTGATGAAGTAATCACACAGCCTGTATGAGTCTGCCCTAGGTCATTTGCATATATGTTGTGATTGTTTAGCTTTGTTTTTTTCTGGGACTCCTAACAGTGGGAATGGGCTTTTGGGACCCTTTTCCTCCTACTGGGTTGCCTTGTTCTGTCTTGATATGAGGATGTGTGCCCAGTTTTATTTCATCACGTTATGCCATGTCCAGTTGATATCATTGGGAAGACTACTCTTTCTGAAGGGAAATGGAAGAGGAGTGGATCTGGAGACGAGGGGAGGTGGGGGCGCTGGCAGGAGGGGAGAATCTGGTCAGGATGTATTATATGAGAGAAGAATAAAAAAGAAAGTAAATTCATGCAATATATTTTATCAAATATTTCCTTTTTTCTAATCTTCTCATAGATGTACAACTGGTAAAGATTTACACCCACTCCACAGGCTGCCCCATTGCTTGAGTAATGGTGCCTTTGCTTTACAGAAACCTTTGTGTTTTAAACAAAGATTTTAACGATTGGTCTTTCTTTTATTTTCTTTTTAATAAATTATTTATTTATTTATTTATTTATTTATTTTACATACCAGCCACAGTTTCCCATCCCTGCTCTCCTCCCAGTCCCCTACACCAACTTCCTTTGTTCTCACACCCAAATCCACTGCTACTCAGTTTTTGTTTAGGAAAGGACAAGTCTTCCTTGAGTATCAACAAAACATGGCATGCTAAGATGCAATAAGACTAAGTACCTTGGGCTAGAAGGATGGCTCAACAGTTAAGAGCACTGGCTTCTCTTCCAGGGGCACTGAGTTTAATTTGCAGCTCTCATATGATGGCTTCCACCCTTCTATAGTGGGATCTAATGGCCTTTTCTGTCATAAAGGTAAACATTTAGATAGAATAGTCATATATAAAACAAATAAATAAATCTTAAAAATGATATTCAATGTCAAATAATAAAAACACACCCTAAAATACTGATCATCTCCTGAAAGCCAGAAGGGGATTAGAGACAGTCCCTGCTCACACTGTTAAGAGTTTCACAAGAAGACCAAGCTGCACAACTGTCACATATATGAAGATACCTAGGTTAGTCTCATGCAGGCTCTCTGGTTGTCTGTTCAGTCTCTGTGAGCCCCTATGTGCCCAGGTTGGCTGATTCTGTATCCTGTTCAGGAAGCTGTTTAGTAACAAAACCCATATGGTACTGGCCTAAAAAGACACATTGATCCATGGATTCAAATCAAAGTCCCAGACGTGAATCCATACACCTAGGGACACCTGAATTTCTACAAAGAAGCCAGAATTATACAATGGAATTAAAAAAAGCATCTTCAACAAATAGTACTTGTCTAACTGGAGAATGACATGAAGAAGAATGCAAACAGATCCGTATCTTTCACCATGCACAAAACTCAAGTCAAAGTGGATCAAAGACATCAACATAAATCCAAATACACTGAATCTGATAGAAAAGAAAGAGAGAAATTGCCTTGGATGCATTGGCATAGGAAACAATTAGTTATTCAATATTAAAAATTTCAAAATGTAAAGAAATTGATTTTGTAGTTTGAAGGAAAATAAAATTCTATTCTTTACTTCTTGTCATTTAGAATATCAAAATCTCAAACCTTGAATCTGAGAGTCATAATTTTGCAACTGTCTTTAATGCTATTGATGTCATGCACAGCATTTCTATAATGTTTGCACCAGCTTTGGTAATTTTCTTACAGTATCTATAATTCCTTTCAGTGTTCAACTTATTTTTATTGTTTGTATGACCAAACAGAAATGGGGTTAGCATAGGAAGTAATTTTAGTAAAGCTCTATCATTATGAATTAACTGAGTTGTTGATGTTAGTGACATTGATGTTATTTATTTCACCTCACTTTATCGACTTTGAAGGCAGACTATAGAATTTAACAGTGGCCTAAATTAAGACGCTTAATATCTTCATTAATTACTAAAGAAACTAACTCTCTGCCAGTTGGTTAATGTCCATAGACTTTCATTTCTGTAAATCTTGGAAGACTATAGAATCTTTAAAAAGCAACTTATTTCTGTGCCAACTAATCACTTGATTGCTACACTCAATTTCCCTCAATAATAAATGTTGACTGTTAGGAAAAATAGCTAATGTGGACACGGCTATGGCATGGAAAGGACCTCACATACGTTGAAGAAGCCAGCAGCAATCATGTGCTTTCTGTACACTGTTGCACGATCTCAGATGAAGTCTAGGCTGTGAGTACTGTAAGGATTGCATGATTGTGCAAGAGATGTGGAAAAAAGACTCTTAGATTGCTTTGTCTGTGCATTTAGTGCTGTTAAACATCCTTATGACATCATGTCTGTCCTGTACGTCCATCCTAGGAGAGTAAAATTAAAGATAAAAATATGAGATGCTTAGACCCCTTAGTAGAGTTGATCTCAAGTCTTGGATTTACCTGATTTCAGAGCTTGGAGTTTATTTTTTTTAATTTAAGTTAGAAACAACCTTGGATGACATGTCCATCCCAGCTCCATCAACCTCCCCTCCTCCTCTCGCCCCCACCAACACCACCAACCACTTACCCCATCCCCACTCTGATCCCCAGGGAGGGTGAGGCCTCCCTCCCATGGGGAATCTTCAAAGTCTGTCATATCATCCTGGGCAGAGCCTAGGCCCTCACCCATGTGTCCAGGCCGAGAGAGCATCCCTCCATGTGGAATGGGTTCCCCAAATCCATTTGTACATCAGGGCTAAATACTGAGCTACTATCAAAGGCCCCATAGATTGCTAAGGCCTCCTCTCTGACACCCATGTTCAGGGGCTCTGGATCAGTCACGTGCTGGCCTTTCAGTTACCAGTCTGGGGTCCACGGTCTCCCCCTTGTTCAGGTCAGCTGCCTCTGTGGGTTTCACCAGCTCAGTCTTGATTCCTTTGTTCATCACTCCTCCCTCTCTGCACCCGGGTTCCAGGAGTTCAGTTCTGTGTTAGCTGTGGGCGTCTGCCTCTGCTTCCATCAGCCACTGGATGAAGGCTCTAGGATGGCATATAAGGTAGTCATCAATCTCATTATTGGGGGGGCATTTAAGTTAGCCTCTCCACTATTGCTTAGATTGCCAGTTGATGTCATCCTTATAGACCTCCCAAATTCTTCCTAGTGCCAGATGTCTTCTCAAACCTATAGTGGCTCCCTCTATTATGGTTTCTCTTACCCTGCTCTCCTCTATTCTTCCCCTGACTCAATCTTCCTGCTTTCCCCTTCCCTCCTTTCCTTTCCTCTTCTTCCCTCTGTTTCTCCCAGCTTCATCTCCCCTCCTCTCCACCCATGTTCTCTATCTTCTCAGGAGATCCCGTCCCATTCCTCTTCTCCATGTTACCATTCATAGCTCTCTTAGGGTCCTCTCTGTTTCCCAGATTCTCTGGCGGCCGGGATTGTAGGCTGGCACACTCCTGCTCCATGTCTAAAATCCACATATGAGTGAGTACATAGCATGTTTGTGATTTTGTGATTGGGTTACCTCACTCAGGATGGTTCCTTCTAGTGCCACCCATTTACTCTCATTAATTCTAATCCAGCTTTAATTTATTTTTGGAAAAAAGGAAGTAAGTTTATTATAATGTCATTGCAAAATTCTTAAATACAAAAAAGTAATTTCAGATGTCTGTCAACTGACACCCATATATTCCAATTAAACCATTCCTAAATCGAACAGCTCATCAGTTGAAAATCCATTTTCTGTAGCTTTGTGGGTCATCACACTGCAGCAGCACAGTGTGGAGCAGAAAAGGAGTCGTTTTCTCTCATGATGCTATGACTGGTGGAAGACTTGGCCACACCGCTGTGAATCTCCATAGAGACTGCTAAGCAGAAAGAGTTCAAACTGTCCTGGGGAAGTCGGTGGCTAAGCACACCCTTGAACACCGGAAGTACAATTTTCTGGGGGTTGCACTGCAACTGTGAAGTAAATGATGACCTCAAGTAGACTATTTTAAACAAATAAGTATATGTGTCTTCATCATTTTCCCTGTTTGTAACGCCTGAATAGGATAAAAATAAATTTATTTAAATTAATTACGCACATTTTAACTTTTAGTGTGGTTACTCTTTAAGCTAAAATTACAATATAGCGTGCGCTTGTGGCTCATAGGATATATAGTACTACTAGAAAGTAATATTGTAAACTAACATTTTAATTTATTGGCTTAATATCTTCAGTTTGGATCCATAAATGACAAAATAACATGTAATAAAAAACTAATAGTATATAATCTTTCATTTACAGGTTGGACCTATGCATCTAGATTATGATAATAGTGTTTTTTCAGCAATGGACTTTAAATATACATTGTTTGTAAGAGTCTCTGATGAAGGAATTCCTGTGCTCTCAAGTAAGAACTTGTAATTTTAATACGTTAAAATAGGTTGAATTAAATAATATGCATAGTAACTTTAATATTGGTTCTCAGATTCTTTGTAGTTAAAAATGTCCCAATCATAAGTTATAGTAATGCATTAAATAGTTATAATTAAATTTGCGTATTTAGTCTAAGCATATTAAAATTGGGTTGAAATAGTGCTTCTCAAACATTGAATACAGAAATTCGCAGTCACTTGAAGGCAATTTAATATACTCTTTCTGTACTATTTTCATGTTTAAAATATTGAACAAGAAACCAGCTTATTCTACTTTGGATTATATTAAAAATTGACCAATGAAGTATTTTTATGCCAAACTTAGTTTTAAGTACACTTTAACTAAAAGTAAATAATTTACTAATAAAATATCAGTATAAACATACCTGGGAAATCTCTGCATATAAAATATAGTATGTGTTAGTTATAAAGAAAAAATAAGAATTGTTGAAGAGGGCATATCAGTGTTCTATCTACACTCATAATTTTTTTTCTCCATAGCCATCATTAGAATCATATTAAGGGTGAGACGCATAAATGAACTTAATCCTATTGGAACTATGATGTCATTTACCTTCAGTGTATTTGAAAACAGTCCAATTGATACACTAGTTGGAAAAATTACATATACAGATGGAGACTGGCCATTTAACAATGTACAATATGCCATTGTTGGAGGCAACTTTGGAATACCACCCAAATTTTACATTGAATCAGATTCAGGTAATGCAAAAGCACTGATATTAATTAATAAAAATTAGTTTTTTTCCAGGGACAAGCCCCTGATAGGTTTTCCAATCCTAAGTGGTCAACTTTAAAAACAAGGATATATAGGTAACACTAATTGGATTCAGTGAATTGTATATACATACATACAAGATTTATGTCTGTAGAAATACAATATATATGCATCTATGTACAACAATAATAGTTAAAAGAAGAGGTTATAAGCTCAAGAGGAATATGGAAAGAGGTAGACAGGGAATAGTGAAGGGTTTAAATTGTGATCACACAGTGTGCTTATCTAAGAAATTCTCAAAAAGTAAAATGAAAAAGAAGGATCTTGTCTTGAATGTAGCTTATTTAGAAACCATGGGAATGAAAACTGTTCATTGGAAGCTTTCCCTTGAGCTACATTGTGCTCACCTTGCTTTGCTGGCTGCATAATTCTTAGCAGCAACAGAGGGAGCATTGAGGCTTTGATCTTTGATATATTGAAGTTCACAAAGCCTTTGCACATGTGTTCTTCCAAATGCCTAAGCATGTACAGTAGGTGACTAATGCATGAATTAACATCTGGCATGATTTAACGGTGGGAGCAATGCTACATGAATGTAACAACAATTAATTATATCATGTAAATTCTATTTGTTACTGTAACAAAGACTTCATTTCTATAGGTTATTGTATGGTATTGATTGAAACAGTTAAGACCAGCATAACAACTTTTTCACTGTTTTGTGTTAGGAATTATAAAGCTGTTGAATTCACTGGACAGGGAAGCAGTTTCACAGTATAAGATAACTGTGAGAATCACAGATGTGGCCAATGATGCTCTCCCTGACCCTCTCAGACAGAGAAGTGCTACTGCTCAGGTGACCATCCATGTTCTGGTAAGAATGCAACAGTGCTTGAGGTATTTTTTGTATCATTTAAGAGACAGACATACTCCCAGAAAATGAAAATAAAAGATATTTGGGACAGTAGAGTCTTGCAATGTTGACTTAAGTTCATGTGGTCTCACTACATTCTAAATGTAATGAAAATGATAAAATTGTCAGTTCTTGCAAAATACTCTGGTTACTGACTAATACAACCAGAATTTGTTTGAAGAGAGGGCGTGGAATCATAAGTTGCACTCAATTTATTAGAAATATCACTCTACAAATAAGCATACCTTTTTAAACAAACAAATACATTTTGAAGATTTTGCAGGCCATTCTGATGCATTTTAATTTGTGTATTTGTTCTTCTTAATGTTCTTTCCCTATCTTAGTTGCAGTGAGGGGAAGTAGTTTAGGTAGTAAAGTCTAGTGCATCACTCAAGAGTTTCACAGCATGAAGTACAGACACAAGAACATTTAAATATTCAATGTGAGAATATATTTGACATGCCTTGTTTGAGCATTACATCAAAATAATCAAATGCATCACTTTCATTGATGGGAATGTGCAAAAAATGAATTATATTTTATAGATAGAGCCAACCTCCCTTTGTCAAGTGATTGCATTCTTTTTTGCTGCTTGAGAACTGGGAGATTTTCAGCCCTGGATCCCAGAGAAAAGGCAATACTTTCTAAATAAAGGATGATTTAAAGTTGCAGACATTGAGTAGAGCCTTTGCATAATGCTCTGAGGTGAGCATTTTCACATATGTTGTGGTGAGCTGAACCTCTCAGCGGTGTCCATGACTTCGTGCTGTAATCCCCTCTACAGCCTCATTATGCCTGGAAAATGCAATAAAACAGGCCAAAATCTTTTTAGAGAGAAATTTAATGAAGTGACTTTAATGGTTTTTACCATGACTCAGGACATCATGAGCTAATGAAAGCTTCTTGACGATTCAAGCTTCCAGAAATATACCTGACACACTCATACTTAACAGTTTTTCTGTTGGGAGCAGGCCTACGTGTAAGGGCTTCTAAACCTGTAACTCCCAGGGCTTCTAAACCTGTAACTCCCATGGCATTCTGCATGGCATGCCTGAGATCCAGTAGGTGTGATGACTAGAGTTTGCTATATTCTTCATTGGTGAAGCATTCATTCCTCTCTCTCTCTCTCTCTCTCTCTCTCTCTCTCTCTCTCTCTCTCTCTCTCTCTCTGTCTGTCTCTCTCTCTCTCTCTCTCTCTCTCTCTCTCTCTCTCTGAATTAGATATAGATAGGTACATTCAGGGGGAAAATACTTGGTGTCTTGAGATCAGGTAAAACTTAAATATTTCTTAGAATTGCCAATATTTACTCTGAAAATATTCCAGAAAAAAACTTTGTTTGAGTGTTGCTAATATTTTATTCAGAAAGTAAGTCACAGTCCAAATTTCTAAAAGTACAGGTTTTGAAAATAATACCTTATTTTTAACAGAAACTGAAGCCATAATGAAGATAAATGTAGTAGAATTCTATTACTTAAGCCAGAAGCATAAGAATATATCTATACCTTTTCTGAATGAACTAACACAATATATGCTTTTTATAAACTGAAAAATTAGTATTCTTTTTACCTGAATGGTCATGCACACCCAAGTCTCCATGTTGAGTCTTCATCTCCAGTGCTATTTGCTTGTAGTTATTTGCACGTGTGCTAGGAGGTAATTTGATAAATGAAACAGGTGAGGCCTCAGTCTGATGAGATTAATATACTCAAAGAATAACAAAGGAACTCTCCAGGAAGCACACTCTCTACACTGTGTGGACATTTTGAGAAGAACTGACTGTATCAACCCCTCATGGAAACAAAAGCCTATAGAGATCATGGTCTAAGACTGTGAGAAAGTCAGTGTCTGTTACTTAAACCATGCAAATTCTTGTACTTTGTCATGGCAGCATATGGAGGCTTCAAGAAAATACTTGAAGAATATAATATTAAATCTATATCCATAGCAAACATGTGCACAGGTAAATAGAAGGTTAAACAATGAAATAGTACATTAATGGATAGAATAACTCAACAACTCATTTTTGGACAACGATAACCATAGAAGGAGCCTGTCCTGTGAACAATGCAATCACTAAAAGGCACTGTGCTCTGTCCAGCCAACCACCAAATATTTGTATCCATAACACTGAGGGTAAGCAAATCAATCTTTATACCAATAGTGGGCCTGCCAGAGTCTGAATCAAAACAAAGACGATGCTTTGACTCAAATAAAAACAAAACAAAGTGAAAAAATCCCCAAGCAAAAATAATCTCATAGCACACCATAATGTACTTGCTGACAAGAATTTACATGCAAAACTGAAGGGTGTTTTATCTCCTGCAAAGTGCGTGATCAGTTTCCTCAGAGGACAGTTTCTAAATAAGTACTGCCTTTTTTTGTGATTCTTTTTGAAGGAATTGTTACCGGACATAGGTCCTTTGTTTCCAGACTCAAGTACAGCGGCTCTTCCGTGCCAGATGCATGCTTCATTTCTGCAACATGTAAAGATTTGCATGCTCTTTACCTCTCAAATAATAATTGAATAATGGCAAAAAAATGAGTGCCTCTATTTCCATGAAAATGCTTTTCGGAATAGTTGCCGTCTCAAAATTCATTACTGTCGGAAGCTAATAGTCTGAAAGCAGGCAATGTCCACACAAAATTGGGTTGGCTTTAGGGAGAACTACCTGTGGAGAAAGGGAGCATAGTGAATTAAAGACCTTCTCAAGTGTGAAGGCTTGCACATGTATTGGTCCTTTCTGCTAGCAAAATACATACAAAGATCTTTAACTTTGATCTGGTAGCATCAGAACCCTCTACCCTGAATGGCATGAACTATATGCACATATTCAGTGTGAATACACCACGTAATGTCACATATACTCATTGTCCCTGCAGAAGTGAAGACTTCAAAGGCTTAACTTGGGTTAGACTCCCAGCCTTCCCAGTTACAATGTGGAAACAGGACAGGCTATTGAAACACTTAAAACTATTTCTTCATCACAAAATGCTGCTGATACACCATGCGACCCTGCAGTATAACTGAATTTCAAACATGACTCTCTGTAAAGCAGTCAGGAGCTCACAGCGAATACTGTACAAATCTTTCATAAACTAACTAGGACCACCCCACAGATGAAGAAAAATCCCAATTAACATTGCTGTTCTGTTGGCATACATGTTTTATTAGGATGAGGTTTTCATCATTTCATCCATGGAACAAAAGCTAGAAACTACTTTACCACGACTGATAAACACATTTAAAATGTTCTTGTTTTTTATAGATTATGGAATTTAAGCTAGAGCATAAATGTTCCCCATCTTGGATATTTTTAAAGTACAATGTTTCTTGAATTGTTTATGTTAATATAAAACTTAAACTGTAAAACTGTAAATCAATTTCTTTCATGCACTAAGTATTGCAGAGTTTAGAGAATTTTAAAACATAGCATAAAGAGCTAACCTACTACAGATTTTATTTATAAGTTACATAAGATCACATTTGGAGGGGAGAAAGAATGCAACCTGAAGGAGACAAGAGAAATACCAAATAAATTTTGGTAGACGCTGAGCTGGGTATTAATCATTCTTTTCAGTGTTCCCAGGTTTCATCATATATGCATTTTGACATTTAAATCTTTCTGAACTGAATTATAAAATGATACTTTCAATTTAGTACTTTGTTAAACTCTTGAAGGAAGAATCCTTTATCGTGTATCTTTTCTCATTATGTAATAATCAAAAGTTTTTCCTTAAATATTTACTTACCATTGTATATACTGGCAATGAGGCAAGAAAGCATGAGTAGAAGAAAAATGCTCTGAGCCCTAAATATTATCACAAAGGAGAATGTTAGAACTAGAGAAAATTTATTCTCCCATTTACACAATGGAAACTTAGACCCACCTCATCACTACTGAAAACCAATATGATCTTTGATGGTTTTCTGGATGCTTATTATAATGTAGAAGCAATGATATAGACTGGTATTTTCTGCTCAAAAGATATTTTATCTACTACATGTTAATATTTCCTGTTTAGTTCTTTTTATTAATTCTTTTATTTATATTAAAACAATCTAATTTTATTTACCAATTCCAGTTCTCTCTGCCTTCCATCCTCCCATTTTCTCCACTATCTCTCCATCCCACCCATCCACTCCTGAGAGAGGGTGAGGCCTCCCTTGAAGGATCATTAAAGTCTGTCACATCATTTGGGGCAGGACCGAGGCCTTTACCTCTGTATCTAGGCGGAGAGAGTATCCCTACACAGGGAATGTGCTCCAAAACGCCCGTTTAGGCACTGGGGATAAATACTGGTTACACTTCCAGTTTCCTCATAGACTGCCTAAGTCCTCCAACTGACACCCACATTCAGGGGGCCTAATTCATCCTATGATGGTTGCACAGCTGTCAGGCTGGGGTCCGTTAGCTCCCATTTGCTCAGGTCAGCTGTTTCTGTGGGTTTCCTCAGCATGGTCTTGATCCCTTTGCTCATCACTCCTCTCTCTCTGCAACTGGATTCCAGATGTTCAGCTCAGTACTTAACTGTGAATCTCTGCTTATGTTTCCATCAGCTACTGCATGAAGACTCTATAATGGCATTTAAGGTAACCATCAATCTCATTATAGGTGAAGGGCAACTAAGGTAGACTCTCCACTATTTCTTAGATTCATAGTTGAGGTCATGACTCCTGGAAATTTCCCTAGTGCCAGGTTTCTCATTAAGTCCATAATATCCATCCATCAAGGGTCTTTTCTTGCTTGCTCTGTTCTTAAGGCAGCTCGACCTTCCTGATCCCTCATGTTTTGCTCCCTCCTCCCATTCTCCACTCCACTTTTTCTTACCTCCTTCTCCTCCTTACCCGCATGATCCCAATTTGCTAAGGAGATCTTGTCCCTTTCCTCTTCTTGGGCGTCCATATATGTCTCTTTCAGCGTTCTCCTTGTTTCCTAGCTTCTCTGCGGTTGTGAATTGT